GCTCAAGCCCCTCCCCTCCCGCCCCCCCTTCCCTGCTCCGCCCTGCAAGGAAGTCGTCGCCATAGTGCAGCTTCTTTGTGTGTCCTTTGCAGGTGACCCTGCCACATGATACTCAGGATAGAAATGGCCATGTTCTCAAACACATTTTCTGCGGAAACGACTTACTTTTAGGGCCAACGATGAAACAGACGCGCTAAGCGGGGCTCGGTCTCCAGCACCCCAAGCACTAGCAAGGCCGCTCCGTGGCCCGTCAAAGCGGTACTGTCGCGTTGGCCTCATGTCCCTGTGACTAGTTTTAGGTTTCGAACGTGGAGACGGTTTCATGAAGTTTTGTAGTGACAGAACAATAGGAATTCATGCACGGCACCTTTAAAGCGCATTGGCAGGCAGGTGGAGAAATTTCTGCTAGAGGCCTCAGCTATAGGCTTGTTTTTAAACCTTTAAGTGGGCTGTGTATTCCAGAAGGATTTAATAGTCACAGGATGGATGTTCGGTCCGACACAGGGGTGGCAGTGAATGGCTGTTAAGGGGTCTAAAGGTGGCCCAGGGTAATTTGGCTAGGGACCGGGATCCAATCAGCCAGTTCTAACCATCAGTCAGCGCAGTGGAATATTTAACACCGGTGTGGGAGGGGCTTTTTCCCCCTGGGAATATCAGTTCGCAGCATTTTCAGAGACCACATTTTCCTTTCTCCAGTGACCCAAAGAACTGAGTGTAACACCACCCAGCCTCTTGGCTAACTTGAGAACTCCTCTGTGGTCAGTTTTACCACTGTGAACCATTTACAGAGCTTTGCTTTAGGTTGGCCCTGTATTTTTCTAATCACAGTACTTTACTCATAGTTCCCCCAGATAACTTTGGAAGGAAATAACAAATATTAATTAAGAGTCTTTCTCACTTTATGAGCATGCATTTCCCTTCTGAAAACTAATTTAGTATTTATTTTTGTGCAGGTTTTCTACTATTCGGGAGAATGCTACAGCTTGATTTTAGGGCCTTGGACTAACAAATACACAAAGTTATAATATGCTGATGTACAAATGGTCTTCAGGCAAACAATGTAAGGGCAAGTTAACTGAATAGCTCCTGAGTACAATGTATTTTAAATTAACTGCTAATAGGCAGCAATTATTTTTCTTTAATCTAAACTCTGTTTCTTTAACAGATCCTCATATTGATGAATAAACAAAATATAATCTGAGTTTTGTAAGTCTCTTGGGGGGTGTTTCAATTTAACAAAGTTCTCCAGGCACAATAGTTCACCCTGATTCACCAGTTTTAGCTGCCCTGTTGATCAAAGGGAAAATTGCAGAGCTCGCTTGCAGTTTTTTGGCTGATTCATGTCCTGTTGATTAGTGGAAATTGCTCAAGGAAGTTGGCACTGTTAAAAAATACTGATGAGGAAAAAAAATAGCCTTCCCATAGTCATGCTTAGAAAGGATCACTATGTGCTTAGCCTGAGAAGACAAAAGTCCAGTTAGATTATGTCCACCCTGGAATCTTCCAGAAAACCCCGACTGACTTTTATTTTCTGCCAAAACAACAGTTTGACTGAAAATCTGCAAGGGCCTTAGTTGCCTTGCTCTGCCTTTGATAAAATTTCCCAGCTCTCTCATCTGATGTGTGCTTGCCAAAGCTGTCCTAAAATAATACGTTAGATTTTAGTGGGTTACCACTTTCAGGGAATATGTACATTGGGTTATTTGAGAACCAACTTAATCCTGTCTGGTAGACCAAATGACGTATTAGCAAGTTAAACTTTTTAACTTTTAAGAGATTTGGAAATCAGGGTGTAGAGACAGAGGAAGGCATCAGGTTTGGAGGCTAGGATGAGTATTTGTAAGAGCCATAAGCCATTTTAAGACAATGTGTATATTACAGACATTATAGAATCCCAAGGATCTTGATGGCTTAGCTACACTTCTCTTCAAAATATCTTCTGCCTTCCCTCCCTCCATCTCTCTCTCCACCAAAACAAGCAGCTTTCACTTGCAAAGGAATAAGAAATAGTTATACATGGCCTGTGACCGCGAATTTAGGTATCCCAGTGACCATAGTCCAACATGGTAACTGTTTCATGAAGTTTTTATAGTACCAGATCAAAGAAAGCCATAAATCAAGACATTTCAAATGTATTACATACAGCAGTGACCATTTAGGAACTAAGACAGCACAAGATAATTTACCTCTGGACCTGCAACATCCCAACTCCCCATAACCACTGACATTCTAATCAGTTTTAATAAGCCTTGCCTAATGTTCAATATAGATGGCAGCTTTTCCTGGGAACTTCAATTAACAGACAATCTCAAACTCCTCCCTCCCTCCCTCCCTCATTCCCTCCCTCATCATTTTCTGTTTATGCAGTCACAATAGCAGATTGTGACTAATCTATATTTAATAAACTGATGGTCACATAATATTATTGGGGAATCACAGTTCCCTTTGGAGGATTCTTAGTATCATTTCAAAAATAATTTGAAAATGGGCTCAGAAGGAAGCTTGAGGATCATTTTATTACAGTTTGAGAGAAAAACTAAAGTTTGAGAAAAAAAAACAGCAGGGCAGGCAAGCCATGACTCTCAGCTACAGGGAGAATGGAGATGTTACCCATCTGTGCCCTTTGAGTTAGGGTTCAAGAAAGTGGAGTTTAGCAATGGAAATCTGCATGCAGCTGTGGGGGCAAGGGAAGGTCTTTAAGAAAGAGGGAGACTGTCTGGAGTGTCAGGGCAGGCAGGCTGAGGGTTTGGGCTCATGTCTGAAGAAAAGACAGAAAGGGAGAAAAGGGAATGTTACCCTTTTTGAGTTAGAACTCAGAGAAGCAGACAGACTTGGCACTTAAGTACATTATCTCATTAAGGAGATAATTATTCCTTCTGTCTCTTCAGCTTCTCTTCAAGTGATCCAGCTTTCCTGAGGGGTAGTCTCCTGGCAGGGTGACTTGACAGGTCCAGTGGGACTAACTCTCAAGGGAATAGACAGTGGTTTGCAACGTTCGGGGTGATTTAGAATGTCCGTATCTGCCCACGGCAGAGACAGAAGTCAAATTCTATTCTTTTTTTAAAAATTATTTATTTTATGTGTATGAGTGTTATGCCTGAATATGTGTAAGTGCACCTATGTTGTGCAATGCCCTCAGAGGTCTCGAATTCCCCTGGAGCTGGAGTTACTGATAGTTGTTAGCTGCCACCTGGGTGCTGGGATTCAAACCCGGGTCTTCTGCAAGAACAACCAGTGCTCTTAACCGCTGCATCATCTCTCCAGCCCCAGATTCTAGTAGCTGTCCCTTACTGAGCTTCAACAAAGCCTTGACGCCACCACATCGTTTTTAAATTCTAAGGAGCAACTGTGTTGCTTTCTGGTGCTACCAGAGAAGCAGGAGGTGGGGCCCAAAGCTGACTGTGGAGGAGAGGTCCATCCTCCAAGTCTGTCTAACTATCTAAAATTCTCTCAGGACTTGAGACCTTAAAATCATTAAGGAGATGGGTGTCAGAGGCACCTAGCCACTTCCGGCTGAAATGGGGTGGAGAGGGGTTTTGGGTTACACTCTTGCTGACTTTCAGGCCTGGGCCGGGGGAGAAGTGATCAATGGTACCCAAATAGATGGAGTCAGATTGTCACATGATCGGCTGAGTGCAGATCAAATCTAAATCAGAGAGGATAAAATTAAGACAGTCATAGAGCATAGAAGATCCAAAGATTAATAGTGTCACTACTGAGATTATAACAGACATAATCCATTTTCACCATGAAAATCTGGATAGTTTGATGTGACTTGAATCTGACATTGTAGATGAGAAATTAGCAGAATCATCAGGAACATACACACTGTCGTTTAGGAAAAGTAGGCGAGTCCTGTAATGTGATTATAGCTGGGAAGGTTGTGATTGCTCTCCCTGGCATGATAGTATCTCCCTGGTATGATAGAAGTCCATAGTGGGAGGCCTGGAAGGCCTTTTAAAGTCCAATCTGTGTCTTTTTTTTTTTGAACTACCACTTTTATTCTTCAGGTATACTTTTCTGCTGGGTGTTAAAGATAATGCAGGTGGTCAAAATTAACCATTTTCCATTTTACAGTTAGGGCCAGTTAAGGGTCTGGTCATTAGGGCTTACGTGGGCTTGTGAGGAGCCCTGCCTGGTTCCTTTCTTCTCTACCAGCTGTGCTCTCTGTTGGAGTAAATCAGAGGAAGCACTGAGGACCTTTCTTTCTGTGATGACCCTCGTCTTGCAGAATGCACACTAGGTAGAGTCCAACTTCTGGGTTTCCACAGCCTCTCTGATCAAGAGGATGGTGCCTTACCAGAGCTTCAGGACCCTTTGAGATGTTCTGTCCTCCCCTGGACCCAGGTGAGGGGGAGCAGGGGTTCAAATATCGGCTCTCATTTTAGTCTCAAGGTTTGCAATGACTTTGACCTCCAGATTTGGATTTGACCGCCCATTCAGGAAGACAAGTTTGAACATAAGGCATATCTGATTGCCTTTTGTCTTTTACAAAACAGATCTATCTGGGGAATGGTATTGAAACTTATGGACTTATACTGCCTTATGA